GAGTGGAGTGTGCCAATTTCAGCCAACTTGAAATGGTAAATGGTGCATTTGCCTTTGATCCTCTTTAATATAGAGAGAGAAAAAGGAAAACGGAGAAAATGAAATGCCCTCCCCATCGCACAGAGAGAGAGACTCTTACATACCAATAGTGACAAAGCTCCAAAAATCATCATCCACAAGAAATCTGCTGTGCGTCTTTGGAAAGGTCCATTTTCCAGTTGGACTCCATATCTTGCTCTACAAAATTCAATTACACAAAGCATTGATGCACGTAAATCTTAATCCAATAGCACATCATAATTATACCTAAGTGCCACTGGCAAAGCTTATAATATCACAGAAGTAATATCTTAATTGGTTTAACTGGTATGGATCAGAATGTATTATTCATACATCATTAAGAGCCGAATCCCAAAATTGATAGAAAATTTGCCAAGAAAAAAGAAGTTTGTAATCAGGCGCCACACCTGCAAAAAAGAATGGATGAAAGCCGTTAAACAATGTACAACTTGCACAAATCAAGTCCATATGAAATGCATTTGTATCATTCTTCCAATCAATACAATAATAAATGCTAGTAAGCAAATATTCCCGCCAACAGATAATCAGTTGTCTGTGTCTGTTTGTGTTTCTAGAAGAAAGAAAGAGAGGGGCAGCTAGAGAAATAGTACTCCACGAAGTTCTGTAGTATTAACACTGCAAGAAGTGCTTTAACACAGTATCATGTGTTTGATAAACCTACGTATTTGAGGAGGCCAAGGCCTAACTCAAGTGGTAAAAGCAAAGTCTTAATAGGTCATAAGCCTGGGTCCGATCCTCCTTTGGGGAGGATAAGTGCAAAATTCAGAGGGCAAAAAAGCTACTTCTTCGAGTGCCTTGAGATTGCAGTGAGTTTGATGACTAGGTTAGAGAAATTAGAGGCTGCGGTTGTGAGCTTTGACAGAAAGTCAGTATAGTTCTACTGGGAAGAGGGTCGATGACCCATATGCAGATGGGAAAATGAAAAGGAACTCGAGGGATTTGTGTGCGAGCAGTTTCTAGCATTGAAACAGGAGGGATTAGGGAGGGTGTAATGCTGATCATCATAGGGTTTTGACTTCCCCTTAAAAGAATATTCTCAAGCAATTATTGGAGAGCCACTCTTTAATTGGGTGCAACCGAGATCCAGGCAGAAGTTCGTGTGCTTAAACCAAATTGGTTGGCCCAATTCATTGTCTTTAATTGGGTGCAACCGAGATCCAGGCAGAAGTTCGTGTGCTTAAACCAAATTGGTTGGCCCAATTCATTGACTTGGACCAACCGGTGGAGGACCGAAACATGCTACAAAAACAGGCCCACAGTGGCGTGGGCTCAAACTGTCAATTTATCTTCCCCATGGAACTGAGAGGGGAGACTCCGGTGTACAATGTACTGTGATCTATCCACAAGACTGGGGGCTCAAACTGACAATTTATCTTCCCCATGGGACTGAGGGGAGACTCCGGTGTACAATGCACTGTGATCTATCCACGAGACAAATTTGCGATCCTATTAGTTATGATGATGCAATGGTTGTTCACATAAATAAAAAGAAAATAAAAAAAAAAAAAAGAAAGAAAAGAGGAAATTTTTTGCTTTATAGATGATGAATAGGACCACAGGTAGAGATATTACACAACCAGTTGATGATTAGTTTTTCATCCACAGATATGACAAGATGCAATATGTAACCCTGGAGTATGTCCTTGTGCTAAGATCGGCAGCAATAGCATTTCCACGAGACAAATTTGCGATCCTATTAGTTATGATGATGCAATGGTTGTTCACATAAATAAAAAGAAAATAAAAAAAAAAAAAGAAAGAAAAGAGGAAATTTTTTGCTTTATAGATGACGAATAGGACCACAGGTAGAGATATTACACAACCAGTTGATGATTAGTTTTTCATCCACAGATATGACAAGATGCAATATGTAACCCTGGAGTATGTCCTTGTGCTAAGATCGGCAGCAATAGCATGGAGAGTTCTCTGCAACATGCAACAAATAGTGGAAAAGGGGAGACTTTCTGGTTGTGAACTCTGCATTATTTTTGTCATAGTAGCTCAAATAATTTTGAGGTTGCGCAAAATCTTTATTTTAGAGAATTTTCTTACTGTTGGTGAAGTACCTAAAAACTTGTTTCGCCGCCAGGAAAATCATGTGAAGAATGCTCTAGCAAAAAGTGAACAAACGGATACAAGGAAAAATTGTTCTTATATGTGTCCGGTTAAATGAAAGTCTATGGAAATGGGTAGTCAATTGATCTGGAGCAGCTAGTTAATAGTTAATCTAGTAAGAGTGGGTAGTCAAATTTTTCCAGCAAAACACTCAATGTTGCAAGATAAAAATGCCTGAAATTTTCGTGCACAGAAGTGATTTGCATAGCTTTGTCAAACAACGTGAGAAAAGGAAAATTAACAAACTTTTTGGTGGTTCCGTCATCTAAATGATCTAAGAATGATTTTATTATTTTTCCTACAAAACAACATTGGACGACATTTGACCCTCAACAACACAGGGTTTTCACATACATTTGGTGTCTTCATGTTCCTCTCATTTTTGTTTCTCTTGGTTAGCAAATGGTAATCTAGGAAGTTTGGTTTTAGCACGAGTATTTTCTTTAGAATTCTGTAACAGTTGTGAGGACCACAACACAAGTGTACGTGTTTAGGTTCCAATAAAAAAATTTCACAAAAAGAACATATAGGCCATCTAACAGATGTAACCTTCAAATAATATCATTCACACAACTCATGCATCACTAGTTTTCATTTTTAAGATTCAGATAAATTAATAAGATAATATCATTATATACAATGATAATGGTATTTATTAACTTTCCCAGAGTAACGAGGAATAAATAGGAGTCATAATTACAAATTATTCATGTTAGAATTAATTACCCATAAGCATTATTGTAAAATTATTCGATAAAAATTAAAAATTCACCTGAAAACGAAAGATCACTAGCTCATGAAGCAATGCAATGTGTTCAAGCTGTAGCAACCCAATTTGGCAAGCAATGGTCGTCAACAAACATGCTGTCCCATATGCTTTACTTATCGGTGGAAGTGACTTGAAATACCTGAAAAAGAAGAGGATAAGAGGGGTGTAGTTAAACTTAAACAAGGTAAATCAAACATTCATATTCTAAAAAAACACTGAATGTCCAAACGAATGGACTCACCAAAGCTATAAAAGGATTGCAAAGCTGTTTCTCAAGTAAGTTTCCATTAGAAATATCAAAGAGAGTATAAAGAACAAATCAAACAGTGAAAAAGAAAGGTTCAATGTTCAAGAGAACGGAAACAGAAACACAGCTCTATGAAGTTATTTATGAACGTTAACGTGCACACACTCCCCCAGGGTAATGTAGTGGAGTCCCGCACATACACCAGGACAAGTGTGGTAAAGTAGTAGAGTCCGGCAACTACTGAAAATTGACATCAAGACAAGTGTGGTAAAGTAGTAGAAAGTCTTATCATATATGTACTTTCTGACAAGGGACAACCCTGACACAACACGTGGAAAGGACACAGCCCAACGTGTGAAAGATAAGAATTCCAGTTTGTGAATTTCGGTAAATAAAATTAGGAAAATTTTAATCATCGAAAATTTTGTTTAAGAAAGTCAATATAGTGTGAGAAAACTTATACGAGCTTTGTCAAATTCGTTTTATACGTACTATGTATACTTTTCGATATATTAAAGTTTTTATTTAATTAGTACTAGTGATACAAAGTGCAACCCAAAGTTATCTTAATATATTAATTGTCACTCAAAGTGAATTCATCAATTAAGCTAAAAATGCATTAATTTCATTTTGAAAACAAAAGTTCATTAAAATAAATATACGATTTATAAATGCATATTATCGAGGTAATTACAGGACGTGCTCGTGTTCTATATGTTCGAAGCATTGCGTATCAGGTTTTCATGGTGCATTGGTATCATGCTTTGTAGATTATGAATATATCAAACCATGAATGCCTATATCAACAGAAGCCACATTATCAATCCAGAATCATTAAAGAGAGATGAACAATACATTCTAGAGAGTTTCACATTTGAAGCTGGGAAGCTCATTAAGATTTATGAAGCATCAACTTGATGGGTATAAAGGCAATTTAAGAGACCAAGTGATATCTTTGTCTTTTACTCGAAGGGCAGCTTATTTTATTCACTGAGTGCTATCTATTTCTTTTACCATGTTCACTCTAAATAGCATCATGGTTTCACAATGAAGTAACTTGGACTCTTACCATCAGGTACGACCGAGTAATTTACGGAGACCAATCTGGCAATCTCTACCATTCTTATATAGCTATCAAGCATAGTTTTAGGATAAACTATTTAAGCCACATTACGCAGCCTTTACTCCTACAAAATTGAATTGGGGCATCAATCTTTGATTTCACATTTAATATCATGATCTACCAATTTAACTCTGGCACATCACACAAGGGACTAATGATAAAATTATTGCTAAGGTCATTCAAGTGTTGCATTGTATCTACTTCTAAAGATCACCTTGGATGTCCTTAACAGAAAGCCAACGTATCTAAGAATATGGCAATGTCCAAAAACTAGGGAGGCACAACATTTCCCATGATAGCAAGTTTCCAAGAACTGCAGGTCCAATAGAATACAATGATCATTTCCGGCAATACAGCAACAAGGCCATTTAGTGATTTCGTTAATAATTGGAACTCAACTGCTCTTCTTTTGTACATTAAAATTTCAAACAATGATATTTTTCATCCTCCATTCCCCGTCCGAAAATCATAGTGTTGTTACATCAGGTCATCCCTTAAGATCCTAAAATTCCTTCTTAAGAACCACTGTTTGATATCATAGACATAAAATATTTCAATTATCAAAGTTAGGCCCATATCTCAAGTCCACAATCAGAATCTTATACTAAGAGTAATAAGTTAGGGAGAAATTAAACTCATTCTTAACCATTTTATAAAAAACTGACAGTTAATCATAATTTCTAACCCGAATATAACCAAAAGGGCAGTCAATCACAAGAAACCATTCCAGAAATATAGAAGTATACGGCAACAAAACCAATCAATTGTAAAACGTGAGCAAAGACTTACGTTATTTGATAGATACACACATATATGAATATATATATATATAGCGCGAGAGAGTAAAGAAAAGAAATTACTCGGCAGGGGAAGACATGGTTAATCCGCAAAGTCAATAGGGTGGAAAACCTATTCCTTCTGCGATCTGAAATGTGTAACCGGGAAGAAAATTTACTTGGTGAGAAAGAAACGAAANTCAATAGGGTGGAAAACCTATTCCTTCTGCGATCTGAAATGTGTAACCGGGAAGAAAATTTACTTGGTGAGAAAGAAACGAAATGGCTAATTCTTGGAGATTTTTAGCTGTTGTGATTTTAATCAAATCCCAGTGGTAACCTAGAAGCTTCGCTCCCGTGCAGTCTTGCAAGTTGCCACACAGAAAGGGTTAATCACGACTTAAAAATAGGGAATAAGCCAATATTTGATGTCTATTACCTGAAAATGAAAATGGGAGAATAGTATATTTTAGAAAAATAAGTAGTTAAAAAAATGAAAAAAATTTCGATTTACGTGTAATATTATTTTATGAAAAATTGTGTGATTGAAAATCGAAGAGAAAAAAATGAAATGTAATGTAATTTAATGGGGATCAAACAAGGGCTAAGTCTCAAATTGGAACAGGGGTCTCGGCCCAAATGCCTGTCACGAGACCCTATTGCTTTAGCATAAATCTTAAGAGAAAAAAAGAAAAACCATACATGTGCTATCACCTAGTCCTGTCATTTGCCCTTATATGAATAGCATTATTCTTTCGCGTGAGCCCTTTAATGTAATAAGTACAATTCTTTCGTCAAATTTAAAATTTTAGCCTGCGTTTGATGTTCATTACAAAAAGAAATTGGGAAGAAATGATATTTTAAAAAATAATTTTTTGGAGAATTTGTGGTGAATAAGTAAGAAAATATTTGAATTTATGTTCAAATTATTTTTTTTTTTTTGAAAATGAGTATGATTAATTAAGAATTTTAATTTTTTTTTAAAAAAGTCAAATCAATAATAAAAGCATGAGTTACAAAAATTTTACAAATTCAAGTTAAAGTTTATTATTGAGCACTTGTTTAGTGGAAATTACAATTAAGAATTTAATTCAAGTTTTATCCACACATTTAATTGGATATGCAAGTTTTTAATTACATATGTTATCAATTTTTATCAAAATTTATTGATCTCGAAAAATGTACTTCCAACATAGCCAACAAATCACAATACCTCTCATGTCTACGTAAGCCAGGTTCTTGCACACTTCGACAAATCGTAAACCACATGTGGGCTCCTCCGATGGGGGTAGAATTGACTGCGCACACTCCAACAATCAAGTGAGTTGAAAGTAGTTATACAAGTGTGGGAGGGCTTTGGAAGTTAGCCTTAAATGTAAAAGATGGTTGATTTTGGGAGTAACAAATAATAATATGGCAAAGTTAAAGTGTGAGAGTCTAAACTTGCATATACGCCTTAGTGACACCCCAAGCGTGGGCTTTAATGGTAAAGAGGGTGAGCATAAACCGTTAGAAGAAAAGACACTTGGCCTCATCCTAATAGCCAGGATCTCTTGTAATGGGCATCAATCCATTTAATGTTTTGACTATCTGCAGCCCTAGACTCGACATGTTAGACTAGACTAGACTAAACTTGTTGATTGACTAGAACCACCTATTCAGTGAGTTGTCATATCACACCACTTACTCCAAGGTCTCATATGAATATCCTCCCTATGGTGCTTCTATTTGGCTCGCCTCATCCATGAGGGTTTGATTCTTCGAAGGTTTGACTTACGTGGGTTTTTATTTTTAAAATAATGATTAAAATAACGAAATACAAACTTAAGAGGTAAGAGCACAAAAGGAAAATCTTATTTCGACCAACGTATTAGGAGTACAACAAATATTAAAATAAAATAAACTAATGAGTTCATCTCCATCCTAAGTGTCATGTTGCGTGTGATGCTTTATCTGAATTACACTTGTTGGTTGATGAACCTAATTGAAAATTCCCAACATCGGTGAGAGTGTTAAAAGCATTGTTATTGCTATTTGGAATGCCTATGTACTGGACGAGCTAGATGCTAACTGAAATGGTGGTGGAATAATACCTCCTGATCTACCTGGTGACCGTTAGCGTTCTTGCTATTTCAACGAGCGTGTGTAACCTGAAAAGTGAGAACGGCGCTTTCTCCCCCATTTTACCTCCGGCGTGAGAATCAGTATACGTGTTAAAAGAAATAAGGACGGAATTTAGATGACTGCAAAATATGCAGTCCTCCATACTTGTGTTGCCCTCGGGGGGTATTTATAGACGTTGAAACCGAGTGAGAACCGGATGGTTGTGATGCCATGTGTCCCCACATTGGCCTTCCCATTACTCCCACGTTCTTATGGGAGGTCTTAACTTCCTGCCTGGAGGTTGTGCTCGTGGTAACCGCCATATAACATTGTCAATTCATCAGAGATTTTATGGCTAAGTGTTGAGATGATCTTATAGGTAATTTCATACTGGTTAATGGTCTTTCGTAGGGGTAAAGCACCCGGGGGGTTGATAGTCTCTCGTAGAGATAGAGCGCCCCCAGGAAGTCAATGGTCTCTCGTAGAGGTAGAGCGCTCCAGGGGGTTGACGGTCTCTCATAAAGGTAGAGCACCCCCGAGGGGTCGATGGTCTCTCGTAGAGGTAGAACACCTGAAGGGTCACGATCTCTTGTAGAGATAAAGCGCCCCCGGGGGATTAACGGTCTCTCGTAGAGGTAGAGAGCCCGAGGGGGTCGACGGTCTCTCGTAGAGATAGAGTGCCCCCGAGGAGTCGATGGTCTCTCGTAGAGGAAGAGCACGGTCTCTCATAGAGGTAGAGTGCCCCCGGGGGGTCGACGGTCTCTCGTAGAGGTAGAGCGCCCTGGACGATCGACGGTCTCTCGTAGAGGTAGAATGCTTGGAGGGGTCGACGGTCTCTCGTAGAGGTAGAATGCTTGGAGGGGTCGACGGTCTCTCGTAGAGGTAGAGCGCCCTGGACGATCGACGGTCTCTCGTAGAGGTAGAGCGCCCCGGAGGGTCGACAGTCTTGTGTTAGCGTGCAATGTCTTACCTCGCTCGTTATCACAGACGATTGTTTACGCCATCCAATATCACTCGTAGAGGTAGAGCGCCCCCAGGGGGTCGATGGTCTCTCGTAGAGGTAGAGCGAGTCGGGGGGTCGACAGTCTTGCGTCAGCGTGTAATGTCTTACCTCGCTCGTTATCACAGACGGTTGTTTACGCCATCCAATTTCACTAGCCCCTACCTCTTGTCGATGTTTTTCGACAAGGAGTAGCATCTTCCTTTTCTCAAAATATTTTATTTTATTTTTTTATTATTTTTTTTGTCGAAGGTTTTCTGTCTTCCCGCTTGCGTTGTGACAATCATCAGGTGTGGTGTCTATCGATTAAGGGCCTTAACCAATTTTTTGACCCTAAAGCTTTTTGTCTAGCCACGTGGGCTATATCGATAGTTGAGAGATGGGTCTAGCAGTTAAAGACCTTAGCCAATTTTTTGACTTCTAAGGCTCTCCATCTAGCCGCGTGGGCTATGTCGACTGTCAAGAGAGGGGTCTAGTGATTAAGGGCCTTAACCAATTTTTTGGCTTCTAAGACTCTCCGCCTAGCCGCGTGAGCAATGTCGACCATTGGGAGAGAGGTCTAGCGGTTAAGGGCTTTAGCCAATTTTTTGCCTTCTAAGGCTCTCCGCTTAGCCGCATGGGCTATGTCAACCGTCGGGAGAGGGGTTTAGCGGTTAAGGGTCTTAGCCAATGTTTTGGCTTCTAAGGCTCTCCGCCTAGCCCTATGGATTATATCAACATTCGGGAGAGGGGTCTAGCGGTTAAGGGCTTTAGCCAATGTTTTAGCTTCAAAGGCTCTCCGTTTAGCCGCGTGGGCTATGTCGATCATTGGGAGAAGGGTCTAACGGTTAAAGGTCTTAGCCAATGTTTTGGCTTTTAAGGCTCTTCGTCTAGTCGCGTGGGCTATGTCGACCGTCGAGAGAATGGTCTAGTGGTTAAGGGCTTTAGCCAATTTTTTGGCTTCTAAGGCTATTCGCCTAGACGCTGGGCTATGTCAACCGTCGGGAGAGGGGTCTAGCAGTTAAAGGCTTTAGCCAATTTTTTGGCTCCGAAGGCTCTCCGCCTAATTGCATAGGCTATGTCGATTGTCAGGAGAGGGGTCTAGCGGTTAAGGCCTTAGTCAATTTTTTGACTTCTAAGGCTCTCCGCCTAGCCGCATGGGCTATATCCATCGTCAAAAGAGGGGCCTAGCGGTTAAGGGCTTTAACCAATTTTTTGGCTTTTAAGCCTTTCCGCCTAGTCACGTGGGCTATATCGACCGTTGGGAGAAGAGTCTAACGGTTAAGGGCTTTAGCCAATTTTTTGGCTTTTGAGGTTCTCCGCCTAGCCTCGCTTGTGGAGCTGCCCATCGATAATGGTAAACGAGGCTGGTCGAACCCTCAATCTCTTTGCTTTGAAAGGCGTTTTCTGGCACATCATCATCCATGAGATATTTGATCAATGGATCCATCCAATTTTGTTCATACTCAATTTTCTTTACCTTGGCCCAGCCTTGAATGTTGGGGTATTGTAGGATTTACACGTTCGTTTCCCCGTGGTAGATTTCTCGATCTTGCTAATGCGAGCCTTGTCAATGCATCTGCCCACTCATTATTTTTTTGTGGGACCTTAATCATCGTAAAACTTGTGAATTCCCTTTGGAAATCCCTTATTTCCATCAGATATGCCGCCATCTTTCCATCTTTCGCTTCAAACTCCCCCAACACCTGTCCAACTATTAACTGCAAGTCACTGCAAACCTCTACTGAAGACATCCCCTGCCTAGCCGCCAGACCTAGGTTTGTGATCACCGCCTCATACTCAACATCGTCATTGGTAGCGAGGAACTCGAAGCGTAGTGAATATTCCAATTCTTTAGAGTCCGATCTAATCATTATGATCCCTCTTCCTGATCCCTCTACACTCGAAGAACCATCCATAAAAGTCTTCCAATCCATTTTTTGCCCTTCTAGTGGTTTTAGTAGGATGGTGAGCTCGACGATGAAATCCGCTAGAGCTTGCACTTTGATGGCTCTCCTGGGTTTAAATTCGATGTCAAACTCGCTCAATTCGATCACCCATTTCAACAGCCTCTCGGATGTCTTTGGTTGATGTAGAATCGTGACAATCAATGCGAG